TAATTTGTAGCTTTTCTGTGTCATTTTTACTTTTAAGTTTTTCATTCATTCATCAAGTAAAACTGAGCCCTGCTAATGAATGAGCAATTTGAGACATCAGATAATGAAAGTTGACTTTTTCCCTGTATTTGGAAGATAGATAAGTATGGCTGAATCAGTGTTGCCAATGTACATTATACTCTGATGACATCTTAGCAAGTTTGTAGCAGCATATCAAGACAGATGCATAAGCAAGCCCAATAATGTGAAATCAGTATTATGCCTTCTGAATGATAGAATTCAGTAGTCTAGCATTATCCCATAGATACATAATGTGAGACACATAAGCAACTTTATATTTTCCAGTAGCCACATTAAAAGTAAAGACAGGTGAAATTAATCATTGAGTTATTTATTTATATATTAATTTATATTTATTAATTTATTTGACTCTGTATATTAAAAATATAATTATTTCAACATGCAGTCAATATAAAAAGTATTAATGAGAGCCAGGGATTTAGCTCAATGATGCTATGCCTGCCTTGAAAACACAAGGTCCTGAGTTCCATCCTTGGCACCAAAAATACATACAGAAATAAATAAATAAATAAATAAACTTTACAAAAAGTATGAATGAGATGTTTGCTTTTTAAAAAAAATTCTAAGTCTTAGATATTTGGCACAGTTCACTTCAATGGACTCTGGCCAGATTTTGAATGTGTAGGAGGGGATAGTGGGTACCTCATTGGGCAATACCACTGTAGTCATTCCTGCTTTGCCTCAGTAGGAGAGTCCAGTGAACATCGATGTGAGGTAGAGGGAACAAAAAGATCTCTTCAGAATCTTAGAATATGGTTGTTCCTGGCTCTGCCATTTGATATCAACGTGACTATGAACACATGATTTCATTTCTGTGGATCTTGAGTACCTACCATACTTTTCTCTTGAGCCTGGGGGTGGTGGTGGTGTGGGAGATTAAATAAGATATTTTATGTGAAAAATAGTGTTGTTAAATCATAACGCACCAAAGAAGTTTTAAAAATAAATAAAATGGAGTACTATTCAGCTATAAAGAATGAGAAACTAAAGACATTTATAGCTAAATGGATGCACATTGAGGCCATACTCTTATGTGAAATAAATAGGACATGTGTAAATACTGAACAGTTTCTCTGGTGTGAAAAACTAAAAGTGTAAATAAGGATCAAAATGTATAATTGATATTGAGAAATAGGATGGAAAATGTCTAAAGGAGTGGGGGAAGTGGGAGGGGTAGGGGAAAGGAAAGACGGGAAAAGAAAAATATGAGAAATGGAAAAACAAGGAAACAAAGTCTTTGTAAATGGGAAGGGCAGAGGGAGTGAAGGGAGGGCAGGGGAATTGGGAAAAAATAAGAACCAAGATACATCATATAAATGTACAAGATCCTAGTGAAGAATGTAACTGTACTGTATACCTAAAATGTACCAATAAACTTAATGGAAAAAGAATCATAAGGCATCATGCACATGCAAGGCATTATTGCTTCCTTTTTTGTAGGTTTACTCCCATGAATTTCCTAAGGCTATAAGTTGGTAGGAGAATCAGTGATAGAGTTTGGGGCTTCTGACTTCTAGCCATCTGTTTCAGCTAAGGACTATTTATACTTAACTAATTTTTAATGTTTTTCATTTTAAAAAGTTTTTATTTAAAAAATTGAAAAAGGAGAGTGGGAGTAAGAAGTAGAGTTTCATATGGAACAGTTAGTCTTTTTGGCTACTGTCATAATGTTCTATAGTAAAATTATAAATCTAGGCTATTTATATATTTCTGTATTCAGAATTGCATTCATCAAGGATTGGATTTTATTGCTGTGATATAATATAAAACCCCATGTTCTTTAAAGTTTCAAACAACTTTTAAATTGAACTGTGGTTTCCCTACTTTATTTGTCTCCAAAATATAGTACAACCACGAGAAAGCCTTTCCATAGTGGGCTGGATTAATAAACTAGATATGGATCAATTTAGTAATTTTCTATGGATATTTTTGGTTACAGATATAGCTCATTAATTCCCATGTGCAAGACACTACCTCTCTAGCATGAATCTATTAATGTGGGAATAATTCAATTCAATCCATATTGTACTTACCATGTGTAAGCCACTTTGCATATTTAATGTTCAAAAGGAGTTTGTTCCTATGACAACTGTCCTTAGGTATATATATTCTTTAACTGGAGAAAAATAAGGCACATATTTACCAAAATCTCCATCATATATGAATCAAATGGATTAAAGATCTAAATGTTAAAACAAACACTAAACCAGCTGAAAAAGAGGTTATGTAGAAGTCTTGAAGACATTGGTGTAGGAAAAGATTTTATGAACAAAACCTCAGTTGCCCATGAACTAGCACAACAATCAACAAGTGTGATGTCTTATTACAAAGCTTCTGCACAGCAAGAGAAACCACCAACAGTGTAAAGATACAACCCACAACGTGGGAAAATTTTTTCACCACTTCTTTCTCAGACAAAGGTCTACTATTTAGAATATATAAAGAATTTAAAAATAATCAGACCTCCCTAATTTAAAGACCCAGTCAATAAATGGGCATCTGAAATGAACAGACATTTCTCAGACAAAGAAGTAGAAATAGCAGTAAACACTTGAAAAATGTTCAACATCACTGGTCATTGGAGAGATGTAAATGGAAACAAAACTGAGTTTCTACTTCACCCCAGAAAGAATGGCTGCTATCATAAAATCAACCAACAACAAATGCTGGTGGGGCTGTGGGGAAAAGGAATCCTACTCCACCATTGGTGGAAGTCTAGATTGGTGCAACCACTCTGGAAATATTTAGGCATTAACCCAGCTCACTTTCACAGAGAAAAAGAAATATATTTTAAAAGTTCTTTAATTTCTTCTTAAAATTCTGTAAAATACTTTTACAAATAACTTCATTTTCATTTCATATAATCATATTTAAGATTCAGGCCTGCCAGAATTGATGACCATACTCAATACATGCAATGTTTATTTTTACATGCTGAAACACTGCTGTTGACTATTGAATGAAATAGGTTATGCAGTAACCTTTATGTTTTATTACCTTTGCACCTGAGTTTAAAAACAAAGAGATTAATTTTCTAAAGGTCCAATTAATAGTATTTTTGATATTTCTACTATAATTTTATAAGCAATTCTCTTCTGTCCTATAATAACCACCATCTGCATTTTTATTATTTTGTTTAACATTATTATTGTAATGTTTTACTGGGTAATCCCATCAATGCTTGGCAGCAAGAGCTTGTTGCTCTTAATCCAGAAGCTGAACCTACTGGTTACAAGAGTATAGACTTCTCTATTGAGTTCAAAGTCCTGTACTGACTTTACGAATGGAACCTATGGCATGTGTCTTTCACCAGCTTCTCCAAAATCCTTGATCAGATTTAGAACTATTACCTGCTATTTAAATAAGTATGCATTTTTTTATTTAATAGTTTTGCATTATAAATACTTTATTTGGAGACTATCTGGCTTTGAGGGAATCCAGCCAAAATAATTAGTGGTATCTATACAAAAAAGGAAAATTGTTAGTGTACAGTATTTGCATTTCTCTAGGAACTAGAATGGATCTATTCTAGACCAGAGGTCCTCAACTTGGTCTTTAGCCTATTAGGAACCTGACTTCCCAGCAGGAGGTGAGCAAGTAAAGCTTCATCTATGTTACAGTTACTTCCCATCGCTTATGTTACTCCTGAGCTCTGCCTTCTGCAGATGAGCTGCAGTGCTAGATTCTCATATGAGTGAGCCCTCCCGTGGACTTTACATTAGAGGGATCTAGGTTGTACACTCCTTTGAATCATTCAGAACCCTCCTTCCCCATGGTGAAACCTGTCTCTGTCAAAAAGTTTGGGGGCAACTGTCCAAGACCGGTTGTAGCCAAACGGCATTGACTATCAGGCTAAAAGTTGTCCTTGTCTTTTTGTTCAGGGACACCCTAGCAAGAACACAAAAAAATCTGAGTAATCTTAACAATTTATTTTTTCAATTATGAAATAAAATTAAGCAAGTTATAAAAAGCCATTGTACTAGCACATATTAAGGAATATTGAGTTATGTGTCTTAAAGTCACACTTAAGACCAGGCAATAGTAATAGGCATATGATGGCTGTGGATACTATGAGATAATGTCTACTTGTCAGAAATGGATGGTATGTTGCGGTTTTTTTCCATCAAAGTTCAAAAGTTGATGATATACTTTATATTTTTATTGCTTTTACTGAGACATCAATTAAGGAATAAAAGAGAGTCTAACATTCTGTTCATTTTCATGGTGGATATATTCAATATCACATGTGAACAAAACCATATTTATTGTATCATGTTCTATTTCATGCATCCCAAATTGTTCTTAGGAAATTTTAGTGCATATCAGTTCAGTCATCTGAAAGGAATCACTTCTTCATCACAGCTCATAAGTATCAGCCGGAAAAAATGGCCCAATTAAGAGAAATATGATAATGGTATAAAAACACATATAGATATGTCTGGGAAAAGATAAGGTTATTTCAATTTTCCCATTTGCACTGGAATTATTTATTTTACAAATCTCCAGATCTTTTATTACTTAAAATCCTTTGCTGAATTATGAAAAAAAGTTTAAGTTTGCAATTTTCCTCTGCAAATCTAGCTGCTAGCATCTGGTGAACATTTGGATACCTAGTCAGGTTCTATGGAAATGATTATTTTAAGACTCTACTTCAACATGCCTGAGCTTAAAATTCAGCTAGGATCACACTCAGCACATGTATATTGCTCTGGGACATTTAAAAAACCCTTGGTATTAACAGCAGTGATCTCAAGTCTTGTGCAGCAATGCAGACAAATTGGGAGGCAGGATAAGAGGATGTGTAGGCAGGCTGGACATGTGCCTATCAAGTTCTCATGTGCTCCAGGCAGTGACTGGCTGCTTCACCTGTGGACCACCCCACAGCGAGGCCCTTGCCCTCTACAGCTCTTGACACTTACATTTAAACTTGGTTGGCCTTCAGAAATGAGGACCAGTGTCCTTGCTTGTGGCAGCCCTGGGGCTGGTTGCTGCTTCTTCACTGGATGTTGCTTTACTTCCAGAACAGCTTCTGGAAAAAAAAAAAAAAAAAAAAAACTTTTACTCAATTGTAAATACAGGGCCAGGGATTAATCTCAATGGTTCCACTGCCGGCCTTGAAAACACAAGGTCCTAAGTTCGATCCCTGTTACCAAACATAAATAAATTGTAAATATAGTCAAAAGCAGAATTATTATCAATGGCATTTTTTTCTAGATCATAGGAGAAATTATATAATAGAAATACATAAATATATGCTTTAATAAAAATTCTATTATTTACCAAAATTCAATTGTACATTTAGGATATAAAGAGGCTCTGTATGGCAATTAGAAGCTAATAATTTTTTTGTATGCCCTTATTTATTTTTACACATATATTGGTACAGTTAGGGTCTGGAATGTCTCCAATAGGTCCATGTGTTAAAGCTTTGTCACCAATCTGTGGTTCCATCAGGAAGTGATGGAATCTTATGAAGTGTGCTTAGTGGAAAAAAATTAACTCACTCTGGGCATGTATCTCCAGCTATTATTGTGATCCTGACCATTCTCTCTTTTTTGCTTCCTGATTTCCATGAGGTGAACAGGTTTACTTAACCACTAGCTCTCACCATGATGTACTGTGTCATTCCAGGTCCAGAGTGACAAGGCCAAGTGACCAGAAGCTGAACCTTCTAAAATAATGAGCCAAAATAAACCATTTCCTCTTTTTATATTGATTATCTCAGGTATTTATTAGGTAAAGGAAAATTGATTAACACATAACACATATGTAAGTTTTGTCCAAATAGAAAATGTATAATATATTTTTATTGTTTTTTATGGTTATATTATACACCAAATTTTCATTCATTCAATTTTCATTAGTGTATATTTGAGACAGTTTTGAAAGGATTTTGACATTGTCTATAGAGGAAGCAAATTTGAGGACTATCTCAAGAGGAGAACAGGTTTATTTAAGAAAAGTAAACTTTTTGAACATCATGTGTTCACTCAATTTGTATAAAACAATATTTGAGTTAGAAATTATTCTTAGTTATTTATCAAATTACATCTAGGGGCTGGGGATTTAGCTCAGTGGTGCCATTCCTGCCTTCCTGCCTTGCAAGTGCAAGGTCCTGAGTTCGCTTCCCAGTACAAAAAACATTAGGTCTGATAGGGCTGTAATGTGACATTTTCAGATTTTATTTGAACCTTTGATGCAGTTTAACTAGTTGAATATTTTTGTACTTTATACATTTTCTATCATGTAGATGTTTTATAAATCATATAGGATTTCTCTTCATTTACCCTGAATTTCAGAAATTTATCTCTACGTTTGAAGTAACAGTGCATATTTTATTTTGGTCTATTAAAATTGTAACAGGAACAAGTTTAGCAACTTAAATAAAAAGTTTTGACAGCCCAGATTTGTTAAGTAAGAAGAGTGCAGGATTGGGTATCCAGTTTATATGTTTTGCAATGTGATATAAGCAGTACATTATTAACAGTTTTGTCTAAAAAAATAGTCTGTTATAATGCAAAATAGTCTATGTTTTTACTGTTCAGTATGAGAGCCACTTGTCACACCTGGCTATTTAACTCCTAAAATATGGCCATTGTGATTGAGGAGCTGAATTTTTCACTTTCTTTAATTTTAAATAATTTAAGTAAAGGACCAGTGCTAGAATCTTTCACCCTGGAGAAGGTTTATTTCTCTGTATTTACTACTCCATATGAAATAGATATCTTCTCTCTGCTGACTATTTATAAGACAGTAGTGTCTCCAAAGCAGAAAGCCTAGGCTCTGACATGTGGCCTCCATTATGGAGTGTGCACCATATTTGTTTGGGGCCAAACAGTGGACAGGGTAGCATTCTGAACTTTGGCTCAACTTGTGGATATTCAAACCCAATAAAGTTCAGGTTAGCCATAGGTGATCTGAGAATCTTTCATCTCTGGAAAGCCTTGGGATCTCAGATTATCTCTAATGATGAAGTTCAGTGACAGTAAATGGACTCAAGAGCTTTATTTTTCCAGTGTACTGCTTGTGTGGTTAGACTCCTTGAAGAAGTCTTGTAGGTAACAGATACTTATGAAAGAGGTACTCCATAGCCACGGGTGCCTCTATGAAAAATAAACTTTGTACATTTTTTTTAACTTTATAGATTCTGATCAGATATTAGGGCATTACTGATATAAATACTTTTGTGCCTCTTGTTATATCTTTCTTTAATAAATATTTATTGAGCAAGGCACAATGCTTAACTCTGGCGATAGAATGTTGAAAATAAACTGGATACAACCTTTGCTCTCATGGTAACCACATTGGACAATAATATTTTTTCAATGTTCTCTTCTTCCAAAATTTACTTTTTCTTTTAAAGTATGGTGAAAAGATACACAGGATAAACAGAAATTCAGATGATCATTACCATTTGTATGTTATACATCTAATTAAATTTATTTCTCTCTAGACAACTGTTACAGGTCCATTTATGTAGCTTTTTTTTTTTTTTTGAAATTCAATATTGGAAAGCACAGGAAATAACCAGACCTCAGTTACCATTTTTAGACTATGAGATTAGCATCATTATTTAACATTTATTGTGTGTTTACCATATATATGCTTTAAAGGGGCTCTTTTCTTTAGATGAACCAGAGAAATAACCTCTAAAATAATTATTAATTGAAATATTTTTCATTGCTATTAATGCAACAACACATTTTTTTACTTTGCCATTCATAACACGTACAAAAGAGTGCTACATACATAGCAACTATATAACTAAATGTATGATCTCCAACCTACATTTATTAAAGAATTTTCAAATGTCACTGATGGTAATTTAAGAATGAAAAGGATTAAGAATTGAATGCATACAACCATAATAGCTAGTGCTTAAATATCTGATGGTCAAGAAATGATTTCCTCAAATATGTTAGTTGATAAGGTCCTTGATTTTTGTAGACAGGCACTATGAAAATGATTTTTAAAAATAAATTATACAGCAATGGAAGAACCCACAAAAAGAAAAAGAGATAAATTTCTTCATCAATATTTAAAAAATAGTTGCCTACAAAATCATCATGAACAAAGTTAAAAGGAGAAAGGCTATTCATTTTATTTCTTAAAAAATATGGAGGCTTAAAGCATGACCACAAGTTCAAAAGAATCATCTGTGTTCCTTCCCATTGAATTTGGGAGAGTTTATGACTGCTTTGACCAATTGAGCACAGTGCAGAAAGCACAGTATAGCAGCTGAAACTGGGCCATAAAATATGAAGCTGCTGTGTTGTTTACTGGAATGCTGTCTTTTCCCCAAACCTCTAAGTGAGAAGTCTGACCCCACCTTAAGGCCATGATGCAGAAAAAGCCACCTGTAGGTGATCCTCACATGTAAGTGCTCCAGTTGACATTGCCAGCAAACTCAGCCTTCTTTTATTCTTGCCAGGGTACTAAACAAGTAAGGTCCTTGAGTCCCAGTTCCTATTAGCCAGCACAAAAACCTCCCAGACCCTTCTACCGGAATGCCTGACTTATAAAACAGTAACATAAAAATTGTAGTTGTTTTAAGCTGCTAAGTTTTGGTGTAGTTTGTTATGCAGTAGAAATCACTGGAAGGCCTTTGCTCTTATTTCTTTCTGGAAAGTTTTTTCCCCAGAAAACTGCATGCCTGGGCCCTTTGCCATTTAAATCTCAACTTGAAAATCATTTCCTCAGAAAACTCTTTGTTTACTTTCCAATTTCAGCACAACTACTCATTTTTTTATATCTGTAATAAAATTCTTTTTAATTCTATATTAATATTTGTCTCTTTCTTACTTTATTATATATCTTATTCACTTAATAGTATGTCTCAACACCAGCCCTTTACTCTATCCAGCCCTTTCTTGAGAATAGGAAACTTGATTGTTTTGTGTACTATAACATCTCTTGCTTCAGAACCAGGCCTGGCACATGGGAAGTGTTCTATAAATACTTTCTGGACTCCTTTGAAATAAACACATTTGTATGTCTGAAACACCAAACTTAGCAGAGCAAAAGAAACAAAACTTGAGATTATTTTTAAAAAGTCAGAAATGGTAAATTGTATTGGTATTTTAAAAACCTTTGATGGTTTCGATTAGAGTTAATTATTTGCTTCAATTTTGAAAAAAGAAAAAAATCACAAAATCACAGCAGCATAAAATTTTTTCAGGAGTGTGATGAGAGCTCCTCTGTCAAATCAGATACTTTTAAAACTATATCATCCAGGGTCTGGGATTTAGCTCCGTGGTTCGGTGGCCTGCCTTGCAAGCACAAGGACCCGAGTTCAATCCCCGGTACCAAAAACAAAACAAAACAAAACAAAACAAAAACAAAACCATATCATCCACTCCACAGACTCCTTGCTTTGAAAGGAAGAATGTTAACTTTCCACCAATACTTTTTTTTGCTGCTGAACATATGCTTTATTTATTTATTTGGGTAGGGAACAAATCTTACTTTAAAATGACTTTCTTTTCACCACTGATAGTGTTGAAAACAAGGTTTAATTTTTTGGGACTGCTTAATACAAGCATCTAGAATGATATGTCCTTATTACTCCATTGGAAGAATGGGAGTTAAAGGTGTTCTTGGTATCATTCACTCTGGGATGCAGGAGCCTTATGGGTTGGGCTTCAATGACCAGGTATGATCATAAGATTTTATGCCAGTGAGATCTATTTCTATAAAAACCCATGCAAAAATCTGAACTGTTACTCTGAATTGCTATTTATAGATTTGCCATAACATTTCAGAGTGTATATAACATTTTCTCAGACATTCAAGCATAAATTTCAATATGTGTTTCAACATTCGGTATCCTGACTAGTCACTGAATTTTCTCTATGAAGCAGTATGATTACATTCTTATAGTTCTTGAAGGAAACGGAAGTAAATGTTTGGTAAACATGTCCTTTGGGACAGTCTCCCTGTGAATTGTATTATGTGCACAGTCTCAGTTAATTCTTACAACTGTACAATAAATGAGTAAAGGCAGTGAAATTAAAGATTTTATTCTTCCACACAATTTTGAAGAAGATTGGTAAATTAGGAATCAAAACAAAGAAACTGTCTAGTCTTATCCCATTGATATCATCCAACGGTTTTGGTTCAAGTTTTTCAAGGAATGCTATATGTTACTATTCTGACTCATGGATATTGTCTGACACATGAAAAATGTTCACTGACCTGAATGCTATTAAGTCAGGAAGAATACGTCCAGAGGAACTGTACATTTGAATTGTTTTGAAATCTATGGACTTGGATAATGACAATTGTTTAAGGAACCTTGATGTTCCCAGGGGGCATTCTTATCATCCCATAGCTTAGTATTCAGTTTGGACTGCTTATAATATTTGCTTATAATATTGTAGAGGGCCAATTTTCATTTTCACCTTCTCCTTCTTTCCCCCCACCAAACTTGAAGTTGTATGGTTTCAGATAAAGCACTAATTGTAAAATGCATTTGTACCATAACAGAATCATTTCTAAATTAACAACTAAATCCTGAAAAATTGGAAGAAAGGAAAAAGTTCCTTCGTGGTGCACTGAGATATCACTGAGGGACTGCATTCATATATCACTGATTTTTATTTAAGTTACAATTAGAGGGACATTAACTTTCCATTGTTTATAAAATCCACATAAAGTAAAAAAAAAGGCTGAGAATATTTAAAGATCTAAAATGTG